AAAATGCTTAAAAATAATCAGAAACATTGGCAAGTGTTATGCAATGCAAAAATAATGTAGAACATTAGGGAGGATGGAAATTTCAGCAAGCTACTGATAAAACATACTGCAGCAAAAGCAAAAAGACTAGTCCCTGACAATGAGATTTAAGGTTTCTAGTCGCCTGAAATAAATCCAATTTTGTGCCAGAAACTTAATCGTCAATTTCATTGGATGAATTCCCCCAGAACTGCGTAAACATAAGGTGATTTGTCAACAAGAATGGAAGAAATTTGGTGTTACTTTCTACAATATGATTCCCTGAAATTATTTCAGACGTCTGGAAATTGCCAAATCAAAAATTGGATAGACTCTTAAACGGGGGACTTTCTTTTGCGAGGCAAGAAGACAAAAGATTTTTCACATTACTTTGTGTTTTTTTTGCCAATAAATTTATGGAATTTTAAAAATCATTTCACCCCTAAGCAAAGCGGGAATGCCATTAGTACACATTGGGGAGGTGCAGAGAGTGAAAATGATGGAAAAAGAATGAGTAAAGGGAGGATGAGGAAAGAACAAAAGATGAAAGGGATCAAAATAGATAGAAGATGGCGATTGACGTTGCATAGAAAAGTAAAAATTTCTTTTAGGCTAAGAGCAATAGTAGTAATTATGCTTTCTTAAAAAGTTTTTGTATCCAATATTTTAGCCTGTTACTGTACAAGAACGGAATACGATATATATATATATATATATATATATATATATATATATATATATATATATATATATATATATATATATATATATATATATATGTGTGTGTGTGTATATATATATATATATAAAAACAGTAAAATCGACCTTGCTAACCGAACACTCCTCTGTGGCCCAGTCGGTTAAGGCACGTCAGGCTATATGAAAGTTCCGTATAGGATACAGGTTCGATTTCTGTCAGAGGACGCATATTTTCTATGAAAATTTCTCGGACATTCAGGCCGGTAAATGTTGTTACTACTGTTTATTATAAACAGAGCACTTACTTAAATATTTGTATGTATAAAAAGAACGTTAAAACATAAAAATGTCTTATATATATATATATATATATATATATAGTCCTGGCCACAGTACTGTCCCCTTTCGATTGCAATATCTTTAGTGGAATAAAACCAAATTTATATCATCAGAATTTTTTTAATTAGTTGTCCAAATTAATTTAACCATAACAACTTGTTTTAACTTACAGGTAATTTCAAAGAGGAAAAAGAAAACAAAATGACAAATAAAAGCCCCCCCCCTCTTTAATATTTGGCTGTACCCACTTTGGCAATGATGACTGTCTTCAAACATTTCTAGGAGCCAGCTAAATGTTTATGCACTTACCAGATGGCATTTTTCCCACTCTTCCTTTAGAATGGCAAATTTTTGCCGACTCCATAGATTTTCAATGGGATTCAGATTGCTAACCAGTTTAAAACTGTTTATTTCAGGTTTCGGAAACCAATCTGGGAGAACGGGCCAGAAAGCTATGCAGTGTCTCGAAGGAGGGTCATGATATCAAATATACTATAATAAATTGTTTCAACCTCAGACCGCTCCGTCCAGAAGTCTACCTTGGTCTGGAGGTTTAAAGAAAAAAAAACAACGAAGTTAATATTATATTATTTAAACAATGTCCCTTATGTTACTGCAGATATAACAAAATAAAACTAACACAATTAATAAAAAAAGCAAATTCCTTACTGCAAATGAAATGCAGTTAGAAATGACAAATTATTTAATGAGACACTTTTTTCTGCTTATTGTTCGATAACTTCTCCACATCAAGAAAAATGTTTGTCGATGCCAGGAACAAAACATCATCTATGTGGTCATCATCCAACATTGTTCTTAAACGACTCTTGGAACATTTCATTTTCAAAAAAAAAAAAAATGTTCAAAAGTATATGTACTTCCAGATAAAGATACCATCATTTTTTCATTATTCAATAGGCTTTTAGAATTTCCGATTGGCAAAACATATTTCTTGTAAAATTCAGCAGTAGGTTCGGAATTAAATTTTGATTTAAAAAAATGGTCGCATCGCTAGTCGATTAACCCCAACTGATATTTTCTTTCCACTTGCTCCACAAATTCGTCTTGGGTATGACGACAAACTACATCCGCGTCCTGGGTAAGACGATAAACTACGTCCAGCAGCAAGGCCTTTGATCAAGAGGTTTTGAGGAGCGTGGAACCACCTCTTAATTGCTAATGTTCCCAGGTTTACCATGATCCTGGGTGGTAGTACTTGTTTGGGTCCCAGATATGGGCAAATAGTTAACCCCTGGGGTCAAAACGTGTAAAAATAGGTTGTATTACCAATGTAAAAAATTATTACCATCAATAAATTTTTGAAGAAAAAATTCAGCAATACTTTATTACCAGCAATACATTTTTTTAAAAAAAAATTACCAGCAATACAATTTTGTAAAGAAATATTACCAGCAATACATTTTGAAAGAAAAATATTACCAGCACTAAAAATCTTGTAGGCATTAAATAACCCATTGAGGTGTTGATATGCCGTAAAACAATCCAAACCAAAACAAGCTTCATAAATGAATTAGATAATTAGTGTCCAGGTGTTACACTGACCCATGTTCTATTTCTTTCGTTTCAATAATTCCTCTGGGTTTTTAAATGTGTGCCTTGGATTATTATCTGGTTGAAGAACCCATGATCTTCAAGTCAAACCTAGTTTTCTAACACTGGATAGCACTTTGTGCTTTAATATTCCCTTGGTAATCCTCAGATTTTATGATTCTTGTGATATTGTCAATGTCTACAGTACCAAATACGGTAAAACAGCCTGATAGCATTATGGATCCATCCACCATGCTTAACAATTGGTAGGATGTTCTTCATTTTGCAGCCTGTAAAAATACCGTCCTGGGTATGACGATAAACTACATCCGCGTTCTGGGTAAGACGATAAACTACGTCCAGCAGCAAGGCCTCTGATCAGGAAGTTTTGAGGAGCGTGGGATCACCTCCTCATTGCTGGTGTTCCCAGGTCCGCCCTGACCCGAAGTGGTAACAACTGTTAGGGACCCAACTATGGGCAAATAGTTAACCCCGAAATTGGGTTCAAAACACTATGTAAGTGTAAAAATAGATTTTAATACCAGAAACACTTTAAAAATTATTACCAGCAATAAATGTTTGAAAAAAAATTGCGAGCAATACATTTTTGAAAATTAGCAACAATGTTTTTAAAAAATAAATATTACCAGCAATACATTTTTTACATTACCAGAAAATAAAAATTTTTCGGTTAAATAACCCATTGAGGTGTTGATATGCCGTAAAACAAATCAAACCAATCTGTAAAGATATTCTTGGTGTGCATTGCCAAAATCTCTGTTTGTCCACAAGAACATATTCCCAGAAGCCAAGGGAAGTTGGTTCCTTGTGTCATGCCATTGTGCACAGTTACAAATCTACCATTCTTCTGGATATTGAATAATGTTGCCATATCTGGTCTGGCGTTTCTGCTATTCATCTCGAGATTCTTGACAAAATCCAAAGAAGGATCTTCAATATAATAGATCTCGACTTGAGTCACTTTCTCACCGACATGACGTGGCTTCCCTCTGTCATTTCTACATATATTTTTATAGCAAATTCTCTGACGAGCTTTTTTTCCCTCGTGCGCTGACAATATGAATTTAAGCGTGCTACTATACTGGCATCTAAGGTCCAGGCATTTAATGTTGAAATAGTTAAATGTAACTGCCACTTCTACTCCAACAGTTATCGTTTCCACAATCCTCACCATAGCTAAGTTTTTTCTCTCACTTTCACTCTCTGTAAACCGCTGCGTATTAGTGGCATTCCGACTTGTTTGGAATAAAATGATTAAAATAAAAACGGATTCTAGTTTGATCAGAACTGGTTAAAAGTTAATTTCTTCTATTTTATGTCTTTTCTTTATTAATGAGATTTTCTTTGGTTTATTGTCGGCCGTATGGTAGTCAATGAAACAGTTACCTTCAGGTTTGATTTCAGATCATTGGATGATTTACCGAGTTTCTTTTTTTTATGATTCGAACCAACCTTTGAAAACTTCTTTTAAACACTTTTTTCACCACCATGGACTGTCTTTAGAGTTCCTTTCTTCGTAAACTTTTTTTATAACATCAGCCACTGTTGAAATCGGGATACCAATATCCTTGGAGTTGACCTTATTCACTTTAGAAGTGTTTACTAATAATAGCGCATCTGACGTTTTAAAGTGGTTCCTTTGACTTCACCATTCTATCTATCTATCTATCTATCTATCTATCTATCTATCTATCTATCTATCTATCTATCTATCCTAATCTCTTTATATCTATGTACTTATCTCTCTGCGTATCTCATTTTGTTCATATCTATCTATCTATCTATCTATCTATCTATCTATCTATCTATCTATCTATCTATCTATCTCATTCTGTTCAGATCTATCTTGTTATTTAGCATGTGATGTTGCAAATACTTTTGATGTTGCCATTTTATGGACGTGGCTCTATGAGGGAGAGTAGAAGTTTTGGAATAAAACATGAAGATTTTAAAATGCAAACTTTGATAGGTTTCGAAAACTGATATTCAGCACCGAATTTCGGTCCCGCTGACTGCACAAGCAACTCTTAAAAGGTAACACTGGGAAGGAAAAAGAGCAGATACACTGAAGATCGATAGATCGATAGAGAAATCGACGAGAAAAGAAAAAAAGAAGAGAAACCGATCGTCTAGAGGGACAAAGATGGCATTGGCGATGGGGGGGGGCAGAAGTGTAGACATTATGTGGTTAAAATAAAATAAAATAATTGATACATGGTCATGAAGATGGCGTTATGATAGACGGAGAGAAAAATAAAAAGGCAGACACATATTCATATGAATATATACATGTACGATACAGACCAACGCAGAGAGATGTATATATATATATATATATATATATATATATATATATATATATATATATATATTTAAAGATGAAGATAGATAGATAGATAGATAGATAGATAGAATAGATAGATAGATAGATAGATGATAGATATAAACAAAATGAGATACGCAGAGAGATATAAACATAGATATGAAGTGACTAGGATAGATAGATAGATATAGATAGATAGATAGATAGATAGATAGATATGAACAGAATAAGATAGACAGATAGATATGAACACACACGTACACACACACACACACACACATATATATATACAATCGAATCGAAACAAAATTATGATTTTACAACATACATTTGTTATAAATATGATTATATATATATATATATATATATATATATATATATATATATAGAGAGAGAGAGATAGAGAGAGAGAGAGAGAGAGAGAGAACAGAGTGAGATAGATAGAGATAGATGAATATGGACCGACAAAGAGATAATAGATAGATAAATAATGAAAGAATTGACGTGTGTAGAGGGATAGGTACATAGATATGAAGATACTAGGATAGATAGACAGACTAAGATATATAGATTGATAGATATGAACACACATATATATATATATATATATATATATATGAACAGAGACTGAAGTAGATAGAGCAAGATAGATAAATTTGAACAAACTAATATAATAGATAGATAGATAGATAGATAGATAGATAGATAGATAGATAGATAGATAGATAGATAGACGGACTGATATAGACTCATAAGATAGATAGACACATAGATTGAGATAGATATCTAGGTATGAACAAACTTAGATAGATAGATAGATAGATAGATAGATAGATAGATAGATAGATAGATAGATAGATAGATAGATAGAAATTAAGTTTGATACAAAAATAGATATGAACTTATATTCATGGAGTGAGGAAGAAAAATATATTAATAGTGTCACGGATATCGATTTCAATTAGAGAGAGAAAATGAAATAGAGAAACTGATTTTAAGAATGTTAGTGATGAGAAAAGCTTGGGATAGATAGACAGACAGACAGGCCAATAGATAGATAGATACATAGAGTGACAGAAAGAAAGAAAGAAAGAAAGAAAGAAAGAAAGAAAGAAAAAGATGCATAAATAGATAGATAGAGAGAGATATCAACAGTGATAGACAGATAAACTGATAGATAGATATGAACATAGATAGATAGATAGATAGATAGATAGATAGATAGATAGATATGAAATGATAAAAAAGGAAATATATAAGTAAATTGATGTTGATCAAAATAATCGGATAAATACTCTACTAACAGAGAGATATAGTGTGTGCGCGTGTGTAACGATAAAAATATATATATATATATATATATATATATATATATATATATATATATATATATATATATATATATATGAGAAGATCCTGTATAGAATGATTGATAAATAATAAACATCTCATTAGTAATGATCAGAATAATATATAATGTATATATATAATATATATACAAATATACAAATAGATAGATATATAGACACATACACACACACAGACACACAGACATATATATATATAGACAGAGAGAAAGATAGAAGGATACATAGATCAGAACAGACATAGATAGATAGATAGATAGATAGATAGATAGATAGATAGATAGATAGATAGATAGATCAGAACAAGCATAGATAATGATCTTATATGAGGATAGTGAAGAAGAAAACTATTGATATGATCAATAGATAGATTAGAGCGATGTATCGAAAGAGAGAGTGTAACAGAGAGAGAGAGAGACATAGAGAGATAGAGAGACAGAGAGAAGAGAGGTGATGACCATCTGATTGGTCATTATGCTAGAATAATCACAGAAAGCTTTAAGTTTATAAAAATATACATATGTTGTTTTCAGGAAAGTAAACACATCTGGTTGTTAGTTGCTGGGGTTAAATTCTCAGTGGAAATTTAGATTTTGTTAGAATTTCGTTGAGCAATTGCTTTTTCGGAAATAAAATGTATCTCCTTTTTCTTGTTTTTACACAAGATAAGGAACTTTTTAACTTTATTAGAAAGAATCATAAACCTATTAAAATATCCTAAATTACAAAAAACAGCTGAAAAGTTTCCCTCAAAAATATTGAATACAAAGAGAAAATCAATGCAAATGTCCCACGTAAGCGTATGTTGGTAGACAGAATAACGTAAGATTACATAAATGTCACAAATGGATGGTAAAGTACGTAAAGACTTGTCGTCTATTAGTTCTAGACATATTTCTCAGAATACATACATATATATATATATATATATATATATATATATATATATATATATATATATATATATATATATATATGTGTGTGTGTGTGTGTGTGTGTGTGTGTGTGTGTGTGTGTGTGTGTATATATATATGTATATATATATGCATTCCAGACATGAAAGAATGGACAGACCTTTTTTATTCAAACTATGATGTCCAGTCTCAAATACCCGCCTACATTCTTTTTAATACAGACGTCATTAACGCTATCTATCTATCTATCTATCTATCTATCTATCTATCTATCTATCTATCTATCTATACATACGTACACACACGTATACTTTATATTTATATATATATATATATATATATATATATATATATATATATATATATATATATATATATATGTCTGTATATACGTACACACGCTCATACGGAATTAGTTTTGTACGAGGAGACGCTTTCATCTCGATGTTTCTAGATACGTGTGTTTGCTCGTGCACACGCCCGCTCTTACTTGGGTACGGTCGAACTAACGCACTCACGCATGTATATTGGCAAATAGCAGGACGAAAAGGTTCCCCAGCAACAACAATACCCAGCCCCTCATTAGCATATACCATCGGAATGGTATGGAAAAACCCGAGAAAGTAGGCGGAACCGACCCACTCAGCAAACCATGTCTGCCGGCCGCGTGCTCGTGTTGAGTCGAGCGCCACCTGGCAGCGGGTGAAGAAGAACGAAGCTTTCATTTTGAATAAATTATGAAGATCAGCGTTCGGTTAGTTAATGATAATTGTGTGTCCCGCTAGATGTCGCTTTCTGCCATTGTTTGGTACGGAGAGAAAAAAAAGGAAGAAAAGAGTACTTTTAGTTTTTATTTTCTTTACTATTTGTTTTAATGGTTTCATTTTTTTTTTTTGACTTGGAGTCGTTTTAGTTTAGTCAAACTACAATAAAAAAAAAACGGAAAAGGGAAAACTTATTAAAATATAAAAGCAGTGCTGACTAAATTTTAAGTATATAAATATATATTCATTTCTGTCTACACAATTATATATATTTATATGCATGTAAGTATGTACAAATCCTTATATAGATATATTTATATGTATCCGAGTAGAACTTTGATGAGAAAGAATAAACATGACGAATATGATTTAATATTTTTGCTGATGATATGAACCTTTTATAAGTTTTCTACGTTAGCCTTTCATTTTTATATTACATTGATAAGGGGTAACTATCCAGCTAGATTAGTCTGCTCTGGGTATTAATAGTTGTGAGTTCGATCCTCACTAGATACCTTGTACAAAATTCAACATTAAATAATCCAATGATAGCGATTTACTAAGCGAAGTATAAGGATCGAACTCACTACTAATTGATCCAGCTTGTTAACCATTACACTATGTCGATATACTCAATAAAATAAGCCAACTTAACTTAAATAAAATGAATAGTCTAAAATTAATAATAGGGCTATTTCGGTATGGGCCCCTGCTTAAACTGGATCGTCTAATTGACCATTGATACTGAGTGGTTTGTTCGATCTTCTTTAAATGACTTGTACAAAATTCAGCATAAAATAACCCGATAAGGGTTAACATCCCGTAAAATCAATCAAACCTAACCTTAAAACATGACAGTAATCTAAATGAATAATGCAGGTATTTCTGTATGGGGTAATGTTTAACGAGGCTGTTTAAACATTGGTGCTGAGTTCGACCCTTACTGGATACCCAATACAAAATTCAACATTGAAGTATGAAGAATAAGGATTAATGTACAAAAATAATCCGATCTTTGCATCGTTACTTGTAAAATAGGAGTTTTAATTTGATTTCTTTATTCACTCTCTTAGACGATTTCTTCTTTCTTTTTTTTTTTTTTTGATAGCTTTCTTTCCATCTTCTTCGTATTGTACCCGTTCGGCTATATATATATATATATATATATATATATATATATATATATATATATATATATATATATATGTGTGTATATATATATATATATATATATATATATATATATATATATATATATATATATATATACAAATATAATGAGAACGAGGATACTGTAAACTCTAACGTTCACAGCATTAATTCAAAAGAGGGCTCAGCAGAGCAATAATTACTTATTATAGATTTTTACATGTGAACAAAAACAATTACCCACTACAAAGATGCATTCTTGATTCAATACATTATGCGCATCTCAACTGGTGGAAACTAAAAATTTGTAGTTCTCACCAGTCGAAATGCACATAAAGCATCGGATCAAGAATGCATTTTCTAGTGGGTAATTGTTTTTGCTCACATATAAAAATCTATCTATCTATCTATCTATCTATCTATCTATCTATCTATATATATATATATATATATATATATATGTGTGTGTGTGTGTGTGTGTGTATCAAAATTCGTAACACTTATATTGGCCACACAACAACATGTTTAACAAGAAGACTCACGCTACATCTTTCTGATCATAGCTCTATTTAAATACTCATGGAGACCTATCGGACCCAATTCGCTAGATACTTGTTGATAATATAAATATAACATCATCGTCTACATGTAAAAAAGGCTAAAAATAATGGGAGCTTTATTAATATAAAACAAGAAAAACAAGGCTCAGTAATATCAACTATGAACATGGACACAATATGTTGATTGTGTTTTGAAAATAAAACATTCTATAATACTAAGTACATACATACAAAAATCTATTTCCAATTAACAGTTAATATATTTCATCTTTAAAAATGTATAGCCGAAAGCGCTGGGAAAAATATAACATTTGGGCGGTTTTTGTATAATTTCTCTACTGAAAAGGAAAACAATAAGATCATATGAGAAATTATTTTAATTTAATGAAACTTGCATGAAAGAAGGATTGTTGCCTAAATGCACAATATATATATATATATATATATATATATATATATTTGGTTTTCGTAGATGTTAATGTTATTGTTTTAATAACAATGTTTTCAAGTGTTAATGTTATTAAACATTGCTATTAAAACAATAACATTAACACCTACAAAAGCCAAATACATATTAACTATAAGCAAGACGAATAGAAAACTGAGGATTTACGCGTAATAACGAAAGGTTTATTGACCCCGAGTGTTGTGATAAAAAGCAGTAATAGGAATTTTAGAGTAAATCTTACATGAAGGTCTAAGTAAAAATGAAGTGTCTATCAAGCCAGAGTTTTGTGATGGTATCCGATCAGATAGATTGAACCTAGTATTAAAATAACAAAAATATATCTGTTGTTCTTATGTACAAAAGACTGTAAGTTAGTCATACTCCAACCCTATCCCGTAAACTAACTTGTCACTGGTCTAATCAAATTTCGATTCGAATACATATTAATATGCATAGGCTTTTAGGAACTGATGAGTGTGTTCGTTTTAACAGATACTTTCTGGAAATAAAAAGGGAATTTATATTTACAATCAGAATGAAAGACATGGAATTCTGAGACACATACTGAAGAAAAGAGGGTTTGGAGAATTTAACACTCAGGACATACTGAAAGCAAGAGAAGTAGACGGAAGCATAGGGCAACAAACCTAACGAGCATGTATAAGTAGGCGGCAAAACAAGGACTGGGGTGGAAGGTCAGTGATGAATATTACTTATATCTATGAAGGACCGGAAGTTCTAAATTGACAAGGTATATAAAAGAATATATTTGAATCTTTGAGGCCCATCTTAATTTATTCGCCTGTGTCACAGTGAATGCTGAACAATTTCACTTATCGCCCAGTTCACATACCTCCCCGGTCTTTTGAACTAGTATAATTTATCCCTTGTTTCCTGTTTAAGATTGGGCTTCTGGTTTCTTTTGAATTCAACTTCAACTCTATACTTCTAACATCTCCATCTAAATTCTGAAATTTATACTATAATTGATTTCCCGGTTACTTTTAAAGTCTTTTCCTTCTCTTTCACTTCTAGTAACCCATTGAGTCTTAGTGATGTTATCGCCTTGCTTTGGGTGAATGGGTTAAAATATTTTTCAAGCAAGAAGAGAGGTGGTTGTAGCAACGAATGCTATGAATGCCACGGAGAGAACATGTGAGCAAAGAAGAAAACTTAAGATAAATTTAGGATTAAATTAAGGATATTTATACTTACAACCAGAAAGAGGCAACTGGAAATTATGGGACATATTATGAGGAAAGGACGGTTTGGAGAATTTAACATTCACAGGATATTTTGAAGGCAAAAGAAGCAGACAGAAACATCGAGTTGGTTATTTAACAACTTAAAGTAAATGGTGGTCGTAACGGGGACAAAGACGTATGATTTGGTTTGGTTCGATTTGGTTTACGGAATATCAACATCAATGGCTCATTTAATGCCAAAAAGATTTTTATTTTCCAAAAATGTACCGCTGCTAAATCAAGTTTCATTAACAATTTTGCTATCCGAGACACTAATTATTGCATTTATTGGTTTGGTTTGTTTAACGGCATATCAACCTCAATGGGTTATTTAATGCCGACAAGATTTTTATTGCTGGAAATATATTTTTCCTTCAAAAAACGTATTTCTGGT